CATGAAAGAAAATACAGATATTTACCTTTGAACTCAAGGAACAAAAAGACCCAAGCAATGTAACTTCCTCCCATTGTACTTCCAACCAAGTAACTTCCTCCCATTGTACACAGGAGGAGACTGAGGGCCAGGGCAGACCAAGGTCAGACAGCACCTTGGCAGCAGAGGTGGAAAGCATCCTCGGCCCTGGCTTCCCCACTCTGTGTGGCAGCATTCTCACTATACCGTGCTGGCAGGTACGCTTCAAGTGGGGAGACTGCCTCCAGGATGTGCACCCAAAGGGCTGCACTTACGGTGAAACTGATCTCTTCTTCTAGGTCTGGATTTCCCCTAGAGTCCTCCCACATCTCTTCCTGCTGGGAATTGTGGTGGGAGAAAACAGACGGCTTTGCTGCTGACCCCTTCCGAGGAGTTGCAGCATTGGGGACTCCTACTGAGGTCTCATTAGGGACCCTTCACTGGGGCAGCTGGAGTGTGGGTGAGCAGGTCAGGCCTCCCGCTCTTCAGTCCGTGGGGGCATTTGTTGATTCCACAGCGACACTGGAGGAAGGGAAGCCTTCTTAGGGGGACGAGGCCTCTAGGAGGACAGCTCCTCCAAGCAGTAGCCTCCCTCTCTTTGAAGAGGTCTCACACACTGGCTTCATCAAGGAAGCAAGGTCTGGAGGAAAATAATTGCTTAGAAATGTTTCTGGTTGGGTGCAGTGATGCATGCCTGTAATCCCAGCACTTTGGGAGGCCCAGGTGGGCAGATCACTTGAGGTCAGGAGTTCGAGACCAGCCTGGCCAACATGATGAAACCCCGTCTCTACTAAAAATACAAAAATTAGCCAGGTGTGGTAGCACGTGTCTGTAATCCAAGCTTCTAGGGAGGCCGAGGCAGGAGAATTGCTTGAACCCAGGGGGTGGAGGTTGCAGTGAGCCGAGATCATGACACTGCACTCCAGCCTGGGTGACAGAGTGATACTCTATCTCAAAAAAAAAAAAAAAAAAAAAAAAACAATGTTTCCTATCACATCTTCCATCTCCTGCCTCCTCCTTCTGTTAATCTTGAGGACTGTCACAATGGCATGACAGTGCCTCTTTTTCCATAGGAGGACATGTTGCCAAGGGACAAAGCACATGGATGGGGGAGCCTATCAGGCCTATCAAGGTGAAGAGAGGCCAGTGTTATCTCATTTAGAGAACAAGACTCACATTTGCTTAAATGGAGCCTGTTATCTGTCACTAAATTCAGTCTTCTGACCCATTGTCTGACCTGCTTCCCTCACTCCAATCCAATCTGGCTGAGTTCCTGCCCACTGAACATGGTTCTTGTCACACGTGTCCATGTGAAGAGAGTCCACCAACAGGCTTTGTGTGAGCAACAAAGCTGTTTATTTCACCTGGGTGCAGGCGGGCTGAGTCTGAAAAAGGAGTCAGCAAAGGCTGGTGGGATTATCATTAGTTCTTATAGGTTTTGGGATAGGCGGTAGAGTTAGGAGCTATGTTTTGTGGGCAGGGGGTGGATCTCACAAAGTACATTCTCAAGGGTGGGGAGAATTACAAAGAACCTTCTGAAGGGTAGGGGAGATTACAAAGTACATTGATCAGTTAGGGTGGGTCAGAAACAAATCACAATGATGAAATGTCATCAGTTAAGGCTGCTTTCACTTCTTTTGTGGATCTTCAGTTGCTTCAGGCCATCTGGATGTATATGTGCAGGTCACAGGGGATATGATGGCTTAGCTTGGGCTCAGAGGCCTGACATTCCTGTCTTCTTATATTAATAAGAAAAACAAAACAAAATAGAGGTGAAGTGTTGGGGTGGTGAAAATGTTGGGGGGGGTGGTATGGAGAGATAATGTGCAACGTTTCTCAGGGCTGCTTCGAGTGGGATCAGGGGTGGTGTGGGAACCTACAGTGGGAGAGATTCAACTGAAGAAAGATTTTGGGGTAAGGGGTGATATTGTGGGGTTGTTAGAAGGAGCATTTGTCATATAGAATTATTGGTGATGGCCTGGATGTGGTTTTGTATGAATTGAGAAACCAAAGACACAAGGTCTAAATAAGAAAAGAAGAAAAGCAGGTATTAAAGAACTAAGAATTGGGAAGACCCAGGACATCCAATTAGAGAGTGTCCAAGAGGGTTCAGTGTGATTACTTGCTTGGTTGTTGAGTTTTTGGGCTCTATTCTTGACAGAGTCCTTTTTGTTAAGTTGGAGGCTGAGCTTGGTGAGGTGTGTTTTTAAAAGACCATCAGTCTGTTCTACCTTTCCTGAAGACTGAGGACGGTAAGGGGTATGAAGTTTCCACTGAATATCAAGAGCCTGAGAGACTGCTTGGGTGATGTGACTAATAAAGGCCAGTCCATTATCGAACTGTATAGAGGTAGGAATGTCAAACCGAGGAATTATGTATGACAGAAGGGAAGAAATGACTGTGATGGCCTTCTCAGACCCTGTGGGAAAGGCCTCTACCCATCCAGTGAAAGTGGTTTTTTAGTTTCCTGACTCAGGGCATTTGAGTAAAGTCAATTTGCCAGTCCTGGGTGGGGGCAAATCCCCAAGCTTGATGTGTAGGGAAGGGAGGGGGCCCGAACAATCCCTGAGGAGTAGTAGAATAGCAGATGGAACACTGAGAAGTGATTTCCTTGAGGATAGATTTCCATAATGGAAAGGAAATGAGAGGTTCTAAGAGGTAGGCTAGCAGCTTGTAACCTACTTGGAAGAGATTATGAAATGACGATAGAATAGAATGGGCCTGTGAGGCTGGAAGGAGATATTTTCCTTGGTCCAAGAACCATTTGCCTTGTGTGAGAAGAGATTGATAGGTGGAACTTTCAGTAGGAAAGTAGGTGGGAGTAACCAATAAGGAGAAAAGCTGGCTGTGAGGGACGGAAGTTTGAATGCTAGCTGCTTCTTTAGCTACCTTGTCAGCATAAGCATTGCTTTGAGCGATGGGATCTGATGCCTTTGGTGGCCCTTGCAGTGTATGACTCCAGCTTCCTTTGGAAGTAAAGTGGCCTTGAGAAGAGTTGTTTTTTTGTGGTTTTTTTTGTTTGTTTTTTTTTTTTTAAAGAGACATTAATGATGGAGGACCCTTGCATAGTGAGAAAACCTCTTTCAGCCCATATAACAGCAAGGTGGTGCAGGATATGGAAGGCATATTTACAGTCAGTATAAATATTGACACATAATTCCTTTGCAAGAGTGAGGGCTCGAGTTAAGGCAATGAGTTTGGCTTGCTGAGAAGTAGTGGAGGAGGGCAGAGCAGTAGCCTCAATGATAGATATGGAAGATATTACAGCATAGCCTGCCTAATAGCCTGTGTGGCAATTAGGCCTGGTGGAACTGCCATCAATAAACCAGGTATGAACAGGGTGAGGAACAGGAAAGAAGGAAATATGCGGAAATGGAGTGAATGCCAGGTGTATCAGAGAGATACATTCATGGGGGTCAGGTGTGGTATCAGAAATAATGTGGGAGGCCAGATTGAAGTCCGGGCCAGGAACAGTAGTAACTGTGGGAGACTCAACAGAGAGTGAGTACAGCTGAAGGAGCTGGGGAGCAGAAAGTATGTGTGTCAGGTGTGAGGAAGAAAATAGATTTTGGAAGTTATGAGAACTGTAGAGAGTGAGTTGAGCATAGTTTGTGAGTTTTGACGGCCTCTAAAAGTTTTAAAGAAGTGGCAGCCACCACATGCAGACATGAGGGCTATGCTAAAACAGTAAGGTCAAGTTGTTTGGACAGAAATGCTACAGGGCATAGTCCCAGTTCTTGTGTAAGAATTCTGACCGCACAGCCCTGTACTTCGGCTGTGTGTAATGAAAAGAGTTGGGATGAGTTAGGGAGAGATAGTGTGGGAGCAGATTTTAGGGCTGCTTTTTTTTTTTTTTTTTTTTTTTTTTTTTTGTGAGACGGAGTCTTGCTGTGTCGCCCAGGCTGGAGTGCAGTGGCCGGATCTCAGCTCATTGCAAGCTCCGCCTCCCGGGTTTTTACGTCATTCTCCTGCCTCAGCCTCCCGAGTAGCTGGGACTACAGGCGCCCACCACCTCGCCCGGCTAGTTTTTTGTATTTTTTAGTAGAGACGGGGTTTCACCGTGTTAGCCAGGATGGTCTCGAACTCCTGACGTCGAGATCCGCCCGTCTCGGCCTCCCAAAGTGCTGGGATTACAGGCTTGAGCCACCGCGCCCGGCCTAGGGCTGCTTTTTAAGGAACGGAAAGGGGAGTGGAGAAAGGATTTAGGATTTATGGGGTCAGCTAGGTTTACCTAGAACAGAATGTGTTGTGGAGGGAGGTACCGAGGATAGGAGAGTATGTGGGTTAGGCACCATGGGGTGGATAAGCAAGACAATTTGGTTGATAAGGCACAGATCCTGAACTAACCTGTAAGATTTGTCTGGTTTTTGAACAGGTAAAATGAGGGAATTGTAAGGAGAGTTTATAGGCTTTAAAAGGCCATGCTGTAACACGAAAGTGACAACAGGCTTTAATCCTTATAAAGCGTGCTGTGGGATGGGATATTGGTGTTAAGTGGGGTAGGGTGATTAGGTTTTAAAGGGATGGTAAGGGGTGCATGATTGGTTGCCAAGGAGGGAGTAGAGGTATCCCATACTTGTGGATTAAGGTGGGGAGATACAAGGGGAGGATGCAAAGGAGGCTTTGAACTGGGGAAAAGGGCAGCAATGAGGTGTGACTGTAGCCCAGGAATAGTCAGGGAAACACATAATTTAGTTAAAATGTCTTGACCTGATAAGGGAGCTGGGCAGGTGGGGATAGCTTAAAAGGAGTGCATAAAAGAATGTTGTCCAAGTTGGCACCAGTGTTGGGAAGTTTTAAGAGGTTTAGTAGCCTGGCTGTCAATATCCACAATGGTTATGGAGGCAAGGGAAACAGGCCCTTGAAAAGAAAATAATGTGGAGTGGGTGGCCTCCATATTGATTAAGAAGGGGACAGACTTACCCTCCACTGTAAGAGTTACCCAAAGCGTCCATGAAGGTCCAGGAGGCTTCTGAGGCAATCAGGCAGCGTCAGTCTTCAGCTGCTAAGCCAAGAACATCTGGGAAGGAGTCAGTCAGGTAGCCTTAAGCCAGAGTTCCAGGGGCTCTGGGAGTGGCTGCCAGGGGGGTTGGACAGTCCGGTTTCCAGTGGGGTCCCACACACATGGGACACAGCTTAGGAGGAATCCCAGGCTGCAGGCATTCCTTGGCCCAGTGGCCAGATTTCTAGCACCTGAAGCAAGATCCTTGGGGAGGTGGTCCTGGAGGAACGCCTGGCCACTGTGGTTCAGACGTATTAAAGTTCTTGTGTTCTGGAGATATGGCTGGGGTTTCTCTCACAATGGAGGCAAGTAATTGCAACTCAGAAATACGTTGCTACTTGGCTGCCTCTACTCCATTATTGTACACCTTGAAGGCGAGATTAATTAGGTCCCGTTGTGGGGTTTGAGGGCCGGAATCTAATTTTTGGAGCTTTTTCTAATGTCGGGAGTGGATTAGGTGATAAAATGCATATTGAGAATAATACAGCCTTCCTCTGGGGTCTAGGACAGTAAAACGCCTAAGGGTTGTTGCCAAATGGGCCATGAACTGGGCTGGGTTTTTATATTTGATGAAAAAGAGCCCAAATGCTAACTGATTTGGGAAAAATCAGATAAAGAAAAAGGAGCATTAACCTTGGCTATGCCTTCAGCTCCAGCAACCTTTTTAATAGGAAATTGTTGGGCAGGTGGGGAAGGGCTAGTCAGGGAACGAAACTGCAAGCCAGACCGGGTGTGAGGAGGGGAGGTGATAAAAGAATTATAGGGTGGGGGAGCCGAGGCTGAGGAAAAATTGGGACCTGGCTTGGCCTGGCTGGTGAGCAGCAGCCTGGGGAGGAGAGGTCAGATGGGTCCGTAGAAAAGGAGGATTCAAAGGACTCAGAGATTGGGGTGGAGACTGAAGGAACAGATAGGAGACAAAGAAGAAAGATTTGGGCTGAGTCACATTGGGAGCAGAGACTAGGGAGGGACCAATGTGTAAAAGAATGCCTGGATGTCAGGCACCTCACACCATTTGCCCATTTTTTGACAAAAAGTATCTAGATCTTTTAGGATAGACAAATCGAAAGTGCCATTCTCTGGCCACTTGGAACTACTGTTGAGTTTGTATTAGGGCCAAGCAGTGTTGCAGAAGAAAATAAGGGATTCAAGTTTTAGGTCAGGGGTGAGTTAAAGAGGTTTTAAGTTCTTGAGAACACAGGCTAAGGGAGAAGAAGGGGGAATGGAGGGCGGAAGGTTGCCCATAGTGAACGAGGTAAGTTTAAAGAGAAAGGTAGAGACATGGAGAAGGGGGTGGTGCGATGAGCAGCCCTGGGCTGTAATGTGGGTGAGCAGCCAAAGCAGGCATCCCCACAATTGATTTGCCACCAAGGGAATGTGGGTGAATGACCAAGGCAGGTCTCCCCATGGTGATCAGACACCAATGGAGTGTGGGTGAATAATCAGGCAGGCGTCCCCGCAGTGATTAAACACCAAGGGAAGACTTCCCGGGTCTGTGACCAGCGCTGGAGTTTTGGGTCCACGGATAAAATGTGTCTCCTTTGTCTCTACTAGAGATGAAAAAGAACTGGAATTGGAAGGACAGGGAGATTGAAAGGTGGAGAGAGAGGGAGATCGAAGGGTAGCAAGAGAGGCTGGAGAAGAGAATGAAAAGACCGCTTACCCGATTTGAAGTTGGTGAGATGTTCCTTGGGCTGGTTGGTCCGAGGACCCGTGGTCGTAGGTGAATCTCTTCACAGAGTGAGGGTGAGGACAGGGGACTGCTCTCCTGAAGGAGTCCCTCTGACTCGGATCTTTGGTACCAAATGTCACATGCATCTGTGTGAAGAGACCACCAAACAGGCTTTGTGTGAGCAACAAGGCTGTTTATTTCACCTGGGTGCAGGTGGGCTGCATCCAAAAAGAGAGTCAGCAAAGGGTGGTGGGATTATCACTAGTTCTTAGAGGTTTTGGGATAGGCAGTAGAGTTAGGAGCAATGGTTTGTGGGGCAGGGGGTGGATCTCACAAAGTACATTCTCAAGGGTGGGGAGAATTACAAAGAACCTTCTTAAGGGTGGTGGAGATTACAAAGTACATTGATCCATTAGGGTGGGGCAGAAACAAATCATAATGGTGGAATGTCATCCGTTAAGGCTATTTTCACTTCTTTTGTGGCTCTTCAGTTGCTTCAGGCCATCTGGGTGTATACATGCAGGTCACAGGGGATATGATGGCTTAGCTTGGGCTCAGAGGCCTGACAGTTCTCACTTCTCCAGAACAGCTAAGGGTTTTTTTTGTTTTTTTTTTTGAGAGCGAGACACAGAGGGATAGAGACAAACAGACACACACACACACACACACACAGAGAAAGAAGTCCAAACAGAAAAAAGGAGAGCAGCTTCTTGTGAGCGAGAGAGAGAGACAGAGAAAGAGAGAGAAAGAGAGAGACAGACACACACACACACACACACACACACACACACAGAGGTCCAAACAGAAGAAAAGAGAGAGGAGAGCAGCTCCTTGTGAGAGAGAGACAGAGAGAGAGAAAGAGCCAGAAAGAGAGACAGGGAGAGACACAGAGAGACAGAGAGAGAAGGAGAGAGAGATGAGAGACATCCCAAAAAAAGGGAGAAAGGCAGATCTTTAACCTCTCTCTGCCTTTCTGGTTCTGCCCCAAACTCCACTCTACTTCCTCTTCTTTCTTTTTCTTTTAGCTATTTATATCTCTCATAGAGGAGCTGAAAAACAGACCTCAGCAGAGCTATGGTTGTTTTATGTGAGCAGAAGCGGGTATCCTACTTAGCACATACACATGTGAGGAAAAGTGTGGGTATCTGTGTTTCTGCACTAAGGTGTGGGGTTTGTTTTCTACAATCCAGCCCCCTCCACAAGTTGGGCCCAGGTGTTTGAGACCAGCCTGGTCAACACAGGGAGACCTCGTCCCTACTGAAAATTTAAAAAATTAGCCAAGCATGGTGGCTTGCATCTGTGGTCCCAACATTTTGGGAGACAGAAGCAAGTGGATTGCTGGAGCCCAGGAGTTCGAGACCAGCCTGGCCAACACAGGGAGACCTCGTCCCTACTAAAAATTTAAAAAATTAGCCAGGCATGGTGGCTCGCACCTGTGGTCCCAGCTACTCAAGACCAGCCTGCACAGTCCAGTGAGACCTTGTCTCTACCAAAAAAAAAAAATTAAATTAGCTGGGCGCGGTGGTACATGCCTCTAGTCCCAACTACTCAGAAGGCTGAGGTGGGAGGATGGCTTGAGCCCAAAAGAGTGAAGCTGCAGTGAGCCACGATCAAACCGCTGCATTCCAGCCTGGGTAACAGAATGAGACCTTGTCTCAAAAAAAAAAAAAAAAAATTAAAATAAATAAATAAATAAATAAATAATCCGTCCTATATATTCCAAGTCAACATATATCCATATTACTCTAAATGGCTCCATAGTATTTCATGTTATGGATATATCATAATTTTTTAAACAAATTCTGTATTTGGGGACATTTATAAGATTTACAACATTTTACATGTACAATGCCTTCCATTAAAACTCTTCTGTGTTTGCTTTTTATACTCTTGTTCATAGGGCAGATTCTCTACGAAAATAAACACTGAGATTAAGATGTGCTTTGAAGATGTTTACTGCAGGACTGGCCCAGGGCTCATGCCTGTAATCCCAGCACTTTGGGAGGCTGAGGCTGGAGAATCACCAGGTCGGGAGATGGAGACCATCCTGGCTAACACGGTGAAACCCCGTCTCTACTAAAAATACAAAAAAATTAGCTGGGCATGGTGGCAGATGCCTGTAGTCCCAGCTACTCAGCCTGAGACAGGAGGGAGAATGACTTGAACCCGGGAGGCGGAGCTTGCAGTGAGCCGACGTTGCGCCACTGCACTCCAGCCTGGGTGACAGAGCAAGACTCTGTCTTTAAAAAAAAAAAAAAAAAAAGAAAATGTTTACTGCAGAGCAATCTTGGGGCAATACCTGCAGAGGGAGTGAAGGAAGCATGATCGGGCAGAAGGAGAGGTAGAATTGAAAGGATACAAAGATACAAAAATGCGTACCCTCCCTTCCCCCCCCATGTTGCTAAACTCTTTGTTCTGCTTTCTAATCTTTGCACATACCAGAGATTTCATAAGTTCTGTGAGTACCTGTTTTTCTGCACGTACCAGAGATTTTGTTTTGCACATACCAGAGATTTCGTAAGTTCTGTGAGTATCTGTTTTTCTGCACGTACCAGAGATTTTGTAAGTTCTGAGGCAAGGTCACAAGACGTGTTTAAGTAAGATAAACTCTTGCTGCCATAAACCTGCTCTCCCGCCTCAAAGGTTGAACCGAAATATCAGAAATGGCGGGAACCAATCATAGTTAGCCAAATCGCCTTGTTCAAACACTAGCCAATCATATATCTGATTTGTATAATAACTCTATGCCCACTTTTCTTAGACTATATAACACTGCTCGGAGCTCAGTGGGGGAGCTCTCCTGCCCGTCTCGTTTCGCGAGCAAGTGAGAGTTCCAGGTTCGAACCTGTAATAAAGATCCTTGCTGCTTAGCTTTGACTCTGGACTCTGGTAGTCTTCTTCGAGGAATAAACGGTCTAGGCATAACAGAATTTTGATGCAGTCACAACAAAGGCCTTGGCCAATCCCATAGGTATTCTAGCTTTCTTTAGAGCTCGATTGACCAAGCCTCTATATCCCCTTACTATTTATTAGATGTTGACTGTCGCTGGGGAGGAGGCCTTACTTTCTGCAGACTGGTTCTCTGTCACTGTTACAGTCTTGCCAATGCACCACAATGTAGCAGTCTCTCGCTGCCCAAGGTATCATCCTAAGTTCTTTGTCTCACGACCAAGAAAGTTAAGGATGCTGGACACCAAGGGTGAGTTTGGAATGAAAGTTTAATAAGTGAAAGAAGAAAGGACCCAGAAGAGGATTGTTGTTTTTACAGTTGAATGCAAAGGCTTTTATAGGAAACCCATGAGGGCTACAAGCCTCCTTTGCATAAAAGGTGAATTTATCATAGCCCCACCCTGTCTTCCTAATGCGCATGTGGGCCCCTTATTGCACATGTGCCAGGGGACAGAATTTTCCATTGCAGGCATATATGAGCAAGTCACCTGTGTAGCCCTTCTTATGTCTGTGGTCATGTCTTAGGTAAGCCCCTGTGCAAATTCCCTTATCTGTGCCTGCAGGTTGTTGTTTTGTTTGAAAGGATTAAACCAAGGACCCACCCTAACTGCCTGCCTGATCAGGCTTTTTCTTTTCTCCTCTGTCACTACAAAGGCTATTTATTCCCAGAGAGAGACTCAGCTGAGAGCTAGCTGTTCATCACCATCACTAGTCAGTGGAGGGAATGAGTGCCGTGTTCCTGAAGTGGGGGAACCGGGACATGCACCACTGCATCTACTACACCTTGCCCAATTACTTCCTTGGCATACATTCCTAGATGTGTTTAGAGAACATGGACTTTTGATAAGGCTTTAGATATTATCAGTTGCCTTCTATAAAAGTGGTATTTTGGCGGGGTTGCTCACGCCTGTAATCCCGGCATTCTGAGAGGCCGAGGTGGGCACATCACGAGGTCAGGAATTTGAGACCAGCCTGGCCAATACGGCAAAACCCCGTCTCTACTAAAAACACAAAAATTAGCCAGGTGTGGTGGCGGGAGCCTGTAATCCTGGCTACTGGGGAGGCTGAGGCAGAAGAATCGCTTGAAACAGGGAGTCAGAGGTTGCAGTGAGCCGAGATCATGCCATTGCACTCCAGCCTGGGCAACAAGAGCAAGACTCTGTCTCAAAAAAAAAAAAAAGTGATATTTCACTTCTAATAGGAGAGCAAGAGACCATTTTTTCTTCTCTGTCAAACAATAACATGCCCTTGCCTGCTCTTTTATCTGTGATTCCACAGCATTTCACACATTCTCTATTATACCGTCTCACATTCAGCGGGAATTCTTTCTTCTTGGTCTCCTAAAATACACTGTTTTCGAGAACAGAAAGGGTGTTTTATTCACACTTATATCTCCTGATCATGTACCATGTATACAGTCAGTCTCTAATTAATACATGTTAAGTAAATTAATGTCTCATTGTAGAAGACTAGGGAGTCACAGAAGATTAACTAACTAGAAACAACAAAAATACTATACAAAAAAAATTAGACATGGTGCAGAATCAAAAGATGGTTGTGGAAGAAATGGAATGTGTTTTTCATGAAGGAGGAATGTAACTACCCAATGGGTTCACCTTGCCCACAGCCTACACAGAGCCAATTTATCAAGACAGGGGAATTGCAATGGAGGAAGAGTAATTCACACAGAGCCGGCTGTGTGGGAGACTAGAGTTTAATTATTACTCAAATCAGTCTCCCCAAGCATTAGGGAAAGCAGAGTTTTTACGGACAACATGGTGGGTGAGGGGAAGCCAGTGAGACATGAATGCTGACTGGTCAGTTAGGAAACAAAATCCTAGGGAACTGAAGCTGTCGTCTTGTACTGAGTCAGTTCCTGGGTGGGGGCCACAAGATCACATGAGCCAGTTTATCAATCTGGGTGGTGCCAGCTGATCTATCAAGTGCAGGGTCAGCAAAATATCTCAAGCACTGATCTTAGGAGGAGTTGAGGGAGGGTCAGAATCTTGTAGCCTCCAGCTGCATGACTCCTACACCATAATTTCTAATATTGTGGCTAATGTTAGTCCTACAAAGGGAATCTAGTTCCCAGGCAAGAAGGAGGTCTGCTTTGGGAAAGGGTTGTTATTGTCTTTGTTTTAAATGACTAACTATAAACCAAGTTTCTCCCAAAGTTAGTTCAACCTACCCCAGGAATGAATACGGACAGCTTAAAGCTTAAAAGTGAGATAGAGTCAGTTAGGTTAGATCTCTTTCACTGTCTCAGTCATACTTTTGCAAAGATGGTTTCAGGAAAGTGTCATGATGTGTACAATATCATCTGAAAAAGAATAAATGAGAAGCCTAGCTCTTCAATAAAGAGGCAACAATTAATGAAGGGTGAATTATCAAAAACAGAGAAGTGGTGTAATAAATATAGCTCAGGTAATATAAAAGGTCAGGGACAAAAGTGTGTTTTTTTCCCCAGCTCTGCTACTTATAACTTGATGAGACTTTTTGATAAATCTTTTTGGAAGCTCTTAAAAACTACCAATGCCAGCCAGGTACAGTGGCTCATACGTGTTAATTAATCCCAGCACTTTGGGAGGCCAAAGCAGGCAGAACACTTGAAGTCAGGAGTTCGAGACCAGCCTGGCCAACATGGCGAAACCTCTTGTTTAATAAATAAAGTTTTGGCGTCACAAAAGAAATAGTACCGAACATAAAATTTTCTTTTTAATTCTCAGCAAGGCAATGTACTTCTACAGAAGGATGTGCCCTTACAGATGGAGCAATGGTGAGTGCACACTTGGACAAGGGAGGGGAAGGGGTTCTTATCCCTGACGCACATGGCCCCTGCTGCTGTGTCTTTCCCCTATTGGCTAGGGTTAGACCACACAGACTAAACTAATTCAGATTGGCTAATTTAAAGAGAGTGATGGGGTGAGTGGTTTCGTGGGAAAAATGGTTATGGCAGAGCAGGTAATCGGAAGGAGTCAGGGTAGAGCAGGTAATCAGAATGAGTCAGAGTGGAGCAGGTAATCGAAAAAGGTTGCTTTACAAGGAAGTTAAGTTTAAAAGTAGAAGGCAAAGAATTGAACGTACTGACATACTGATTCTTTGAAGAGAAATTTAGAACTCATATCTAACAACTTCTCCTCTTGTATTTCCTTACATTTTTTTCTCTTCACATTTCTTTAACATGTCTTGGCTTTGTTGTTTTGCTTGATTTTCCAAAAGAAGAAGCTTCTCTGGATAAGGTGGAGGATAGTTAAGGGAGGTTTTAGTAAGTGCCATTTTTATGAGCCTCTGCACCAACCCACAGATGCATGGTGTGACACAGCACCCAACAAGAATAAGTACACCCATTACGGCAGTGAGGGAAGTAAGAATTGAGGCTATTATTCTTTTCCATTTACTGAACCACTTTTCTAGCCATCCTGTAAAGGAGTCATTTACCCCTGAGTTGTTGGCTAACTCATTGGACAGAGCAGTCAGATCTTGCAATGCCTTTGTTGTACTTCCATCAGAGGCAGTGTTGTCTGGGATGAAAGTACAACATTGAATTTTATTCATGACGCAAATTCCTCTTCTTTCTGCTAATATGTCTAAGGCTATCCTATTTTCCCAAGCCATCTGGCTAGTAGCCCCTAATTGCTCAGTTATTCCTTTAACAGCATCTCTAGTGTAGTCAATAAATCGCTGTTGGTTGTAGTAGATGTAGTTTATCCAGTCTACATTTGTATTAATTGTCACTCACCAAAATATTGACTCAAATCCTGCAGCTATTTGATTTCGGGCTTTAAATTGATCTGGCATTCCCCATGGGACTCCAGTTGTGTTTAAATAGATGTTAGAGTCGAAAGACCCGTATGTGGCTTTTCTTGCTTTACAATGCCTTATTTTTCCTTCCTCTGGTTGATGAAATGCCAGGGTGAAAGGGATAGCCCATTGTACTAAAGCACAAGTGCCACTCCAGTTATTTGGCAGAGTTTCCGGTAAAGGTCCACAATACCACCACACATCTGCTCAGGGATGAAAAAGGGCTGACTGATTGGTAAGCTCTTGGAAAGTATTAAGTTCACTGCATCCCTTCAGGTCTCCAAGGAACACTAAGTTTCCTCCTTGTCACGAGAGACAAGAAGTGAACTTAATGTTGGGAGATGGAAGCTGGATGGCCCTTGGGGGCTGACCCACAGGGTGCCGGACTTCGGGATATAGCAGAGAGAGAGCTTGGCGTGACTTGTTACTCCAGGCTGTAGAATTCTGGAAAAGAGCTACCATGCAACCCATGCCTGGTCGACTGGAGGACCACCCTAGTGGAAAGGGGACAATCTGGGCCTCTGGCCTGCCATGCACACAGCATAACAATTGCTTTTGTTTAACGTGCACACAGAATATTTGATCCATTCCAACCAGGCATTTGCACTTTGGTATCCTGTCTTAATTGCCAAAGTTTGTTTTAAGTCTTTAACTTCTATGATAACTATCTTGGTCTTGTCATTAGATGGAGGAGGAGCAATTGTTCCGTTGTGAAAGGTTTTGGAAGAAGCCTTAGAAGAAGGTGCAGGCGGTAGGGGATCAAAGAAACACATTGCAAAGAATCCAATAGGGTCTGTCCCTGAAACCTCAGCCCCCATACCATAAAACCAACTTAAAGAAGGGAACTAGCTTAGAAAAGGGGAAGAACTTTGAGGGTTCGAGATCATAACCTGTATAGGATGGCACTGGTTTAGCTGACAGTTGGGTGGCGGGGCTGTTCCTCTAGTAAAACAAATGTATGGTTTTAGGAAATTACAAAAACGGGTTGGGGCAGTCCATCCTTGCTCTTTAGTGGTTCACAGAATGCTGGACCAACTACGGCATAAAAGCTCTAAATAGCGGGACAAGACTCCTGGTTGACACTGGGGTCTTTATCAAAATCTCCCCACATTAATTGGTCCCAATTCACTAATGCCCAGTCTGAAGAGAGTCAGGAGGGACAGAGGTACTTTTCTGAAGTAGAGAGCTGTCTTTGACTTGGCAAATCCCCACAGGGTATAACAAGGCAAGCATCAAATGCAATAGTTTGAGGTGAAATTGACTTGGTTATGTTAATAACTAGATGGTCAGCAATAGAGTGAGGAAAGAAGAAAGAGTAATAGAATAGATGAAGGAGAGTTAAATTTTTCTTAGCTTTAGTTAGTAGGGTTTTCCTCTGGGACAATGGCCCAAACACTGGAGGGGGTGGTGCTTTCTTGACTTGGGTTTGATGAGTCCATCCCCTTTCCACTGTACGAATGGCAGTCTCAGTGGTTAGCAGCACAAGGTGGGATCCTTCCCAGGCTGGCTCAAGTTTTCCTTCTTTCCACCCTTTGATGAGAACATGATCCTCAGGCTGGTGCTGGTTTACTGGAAATTCTAGGGGTGGTACCTGTGCTAAAAGACTTAGTTTTGAGGGAAAGGAAAGTGGAAGATAAACCAAGTATAAAATTTCTAAGAAATTGATCTTCTGTTTTAAATGTGGGGACATCAGCAGTGGACTTTATAGTCCTTGGTGCCTTCTTACTTAAAGGAGAAATTTCCTTTAGCACCTATTTTTATTGGTTTTAATACCAAAGAAAGCCAAATACCATTTTATATTTGACAATGCTTCCTGTATGATTTTATACCAGATAAGCTAAATTTCACCTTTATATTAGTGTCTTATTAATGTTAAACTTAATTTTAATAAAATCTTGTAGACATACTTATCTAATTTTTAATGTCTCACCGTAATGTAAGATTTTTATAGACTCTTTTTAACCTTTTATAATTTTGATTAAAGAGTAGGTTAGTGCTTTAAGAAAAACCTGTTGTGCTTTTATTTAAATGTCTAGTTCACAGAAAAACTAGATTATACCCCTTTAATTTTAGCCAATATGCTTACACACAGAATTTCCTTTACAATTAAGGTTTCAGAACTTGCTTAAACCTTTAAAACCAGATATATATATTTAACCTTTTAATGTAGGTAAAATCCACATTCTTATGCCTCCTTATAATCCTTTTACCAAAGGTATATTTTACTTTCCTTACACATCTTGTACATAAACTGTTTCTTCAATAGGGAGGCCTAATTACTTTTAAATTATACAACATTTCTTGCATAAATTCCCTTTTATAACTTTTTTTCATGACTTTCACAGACAATTCTTCAACATGTCCCAACTTTTTGACTTGTTGCAATCATCCCTTTCTTTAAACAACTGTTGGAACCGAACTGTCGATTCCTTCCTGGGCAGGGGTCGCCGCGAAGGATCACCGACACGAGATTCACAGCAGAGAGTTATTTATTACTAGCGCGCTAGGGTCCCAAGCTCTAAGTTGGCCCTGGGACCCCGACTGCTTGTTATAGGCTGTTTATATAGGCAAACACAAGTTCAAACACAGCTTAGGGCGCGAAATTCAAACAAAGCTTTAGGCGCGTGGTAATTGGGTCTGTCTATGGCCTGAGCAAGGTGTCTTGTTCTAATTGGTTAGAGCAGGACCTTATGAGGTTTTTTTCTTGGAGTTGTTGATTCCGGGAACTTTGAGGCAGGGTGGGACCCCCGGAATTGGCAGGGTGGGACCCCATGAGGTTGTTTCCCGGAATTGGCAGGGTGGGACCCTATCAGGGTGGGACCCTATCAGGGTGGGACCTTATCCAGAGCCACCTGGTGTTAATTTTTTTTTAAGTTCTTTTTTTATGAGGCCTAGTTTCTAAGTTTTATGCGGCCTAGTTTCACTACCAGTTAATTTATTTTAGGACAAGAATTTACCATATAACATTCCTTTTTACATAAATTCTCCCCCCTCCTCCTTTTTTTCCTCAAAGATAATATCCATTCTTTTCCAAAGTGAACTTCCTTCATGTCTGTGGACTAGACTGTCTAAGGCCACAAGATTAGAAGTTAGAATAATACTGTTACACTGTTAACTTTTAGCAAACTTTACTTTTGTTGAAAACCTTGTAAGTTTGGGATTTCAAGTATTCTTTGCTATTAATAAGACCTCGTTCAGTTCATATTAACTTAGAAATTGTATAGATGGCTCCTTCCTGATTTGTAAGTACTTTAAGGCTTGGCTGAGTGCAAACAGCTTGCATGTTTGAACAGACCAATTATTAGGTAATTTTCCTAACTCTGCTTCTACAAAGAGTTTCCTTGTCACTTAACTGAATACCCATTGTGTCTTTGTCCCTCAGTCACCCAGGAGGAACCATCTGTTGTCCTGTCCTGAAGGGAGTTTCTCCTAGGTCTAATCAGACCTTTGTATGGTAATTAAGATTTAGATCCCCTGTTAGGAAACCTGCTGGGTTAAGGGAATTTTCAGTGGTTAATGTGAAATCATCTTTTTCTAACAGAATAGCCTCATACCTTAAGGTTCTTGAGTCAGTAAGCTACCTTTTTGCCTTTTTTTTTGGACTTAGGATAGTTCTGACCTGATGGGGTATGCTCACAATGAGGTTTCCTCTAAAAGTTATTTTTCTGCTTTCTTCTGTTAGCAAAGTAGTTGCCACTACAGATTGAATGCATTTAGGCCATCCACAGTTTACTGAGTTAAGGATTTTTGACTAGGAAGGCTACTGATTGTCAGTGGCTTTAGTGCTTTCCAGCTATGCCGTTGTTTACATTGACAACAAGGTGGTATTGGAGCGTTATAGGGTCACGGAGAAGACCTTTAATTATTAGTTACAGGTTTTAAATTTACCCTGGCTTTTAAAGGAAGAGAATATACTCTTTTCTCTTTGTTACTTCTATCTCTGTTTCTCTCTCTCTCTTTCTTTGACTCTGTCTCTCTCTTTCTTTGACTCCCTCTTTGTCTTTCTCTGTCTCTCTCTCTCTCTCTCTTTGACTCTCTGTCTCTTTCTCTCTGACTTCCTCTCCCAGTTTCTCTTTCCTCTTTGCTAGTCTTTCCCTGCCTCTGCCAGCTGCTTATGCTGCTGTTCTCCCCTCTCCTTCCCCTTCCCCTCCGGGAGGGACTGGCAGGAGTGGAGCTACTCTTTCTTCCCCCAAGAAGAAAGGAAAGGGGAGTTCTGAATATTTTTTTACTACCAGAGGTTTGTGTGAGGTTCAACCCCCTGAAATTTGCAGAAGGCTCAACCCCTCAAACCAGGGATATCTGGCCTTGCTGCTCTGGAAGGTTGACCTGTTTCCTCCCTTTCCCCCTCTGAAGTTCCCTTGCACACTTCCCACGCATGTTGTCCTCTCTGGCTGCTCCCCCAAAGGAGAATTAGGCCCCTCTTAGTGTTGGCATACAAGTATAAATCCTACAGCAGGATCTGCCCTAACCATAGGAGGTAGCTACAGAACCGCGGAGAGGACCCACTCACTCCATCCAGCAGTAGGACTTGTCACCATCCACACAAACAACACCGCAACTAGGGCTGTTTGTGATCATTCACACACACACACATTTAGCCCTCCAGAATTCGACCACCAAGGAAGTACTTTACCGGCTCCTACGGCTTCTCCTTCCCTAGTCTCTGCACAGTCATCGCCACAGTATGTGAGAATCCTTTAGTCATGTTGCAGTCCTGTTTCTTTCTGCCTTGCTGAGAGCGCCAGTTATTCCTCACACTGGGTGGGTCCTGATTTCTCACCCCTGAGGCTGCCACAAAGGGGTGGGGTGCGCCTCCACACAAGAGAGAACCAGAGCCGCCCCCCGGAGGGGAATGTAATCACAGGCGAGCCCCCAAATTGTTTTAAGGTTTCAGTGCCGCAAAAGAAATAGCACTCCAATGTAAAATTTTCTTTTTAATTCTCAGCAAGGCAATGTACTTCTATAGGAGGGTGCACCCTTACAGATGGAGCAATGGTGAGTGCTCACCTGGACAAGGGAGGGGAAAGGGTTCTTGTCCCAGACGCAGGTGGCCCCTGCTGCTGTGTCCTTCCCCTATTGGCTAGAGTTAGACGGCACAGGCTAAACTAATTCTGATTGGCTAATTTAAAGAATGATGGGTTGAGGGGTTTGGCGGGAAAAATGGTTAAGGCAGAGCAGGAAATTGGAATGAGTCCGGGGGGAGAATGAGCAGGTAATCTGAATGAGTGAGGGTGGAGCAGGTAATCGAAAAAGGTTGCTTTACGAGGAAGTTTAAAAGTAGAAGGCAAAGAATTGAACATACTGACATATTGATTCTTTGAAGATAAATTTAGAACTCATATCTAACACACTCTCTACTAAAAATACAAAACATTAGCCAGGCATGGTGGTGGGCACCTGTAATCCCAGCTACTCTGGAGGCTGAGGCAGGAGAATCGCTTGAATCCAGGAGGCAGAGGTTTCAGTGAGCTAAGATTGCACCATTGCACTCCAGCCTGGGTTACAAGAGTGAGGAAAAAATAAATAAATAAAAATAATAAATAAATAAATTTGTTTTTAAAAAGTCAAATAAACTATTGATGCCTGGATCCTACCACCAGAGATTCTTGAGATAGTGTGGGGTAGACCTGCTAATCATTATGTTCAGATCTCTCCTAGTAATTTAGATGTTCAGCCAGGGTTGAAATTTACTTTCACGGGCCAGGCACAGTGGCTTATGCCTATAATCCCAGCACTTTGGAAGGCCAAGGCAGGTGGATCACCTGAGGTTAGGAGTTCAAGACCAGCCTGGCCAACATGGTGAAACCCCGTCTCTACTAAAAATACAAAAATTAGCCAGACATGATGGTGGGTGCCTGTAAACCCAGCTACTCAGGAGGCTGAGACAGGAGAATCTCTTGAACCCGGGAGGCAGAGGTTGCATTGAGCCAAGATCACACCACTGCACTTCAGCCTGGGCAACAGGGTGAGACTCTGTCTCAAAAAAACCCAGAAATTTACTTTCACCAATTTACTTTATCTCATGTGTAAAATAAAAGAGGGAATAAAAAGATTTTAAAATGAGGCTGTTAGTACAGATTATCTCTAAATTCTCTTAAAATTAATTTGTTCCATAATTCTCTGAACTCAAGTGAGAAAGACAAGCAAATCCCCCAAATCCATAGGGCTGCTTGGGTGCTGTGTTTGGGGAAAAAGATCTGACCAAGGTTCTAGCTACAAAGAGTTCTCTACTGAGGGAAAGGTGAGCTCATTTCTTTCGTGTGTCCTCTCACAGCAGAACAGGTTCTGAATGTCTTCCCAGAATCATGCAGTACTCTGTGATACTAGAAGTAGAAGCTGCAATGCTTAATGGGAGAAAGACTGAAAATAGGTTTCAGATACACAAACATTTTACATAATGAATGATTCCTGGCCGGTGAGAACAAGACAATATAAATGTATTCTAGTGCATCTTTCTTATCTTGGTGGGGGCTCTTACTGGGCATAATCTCTTGAATTGAAAATAAATTTTTACCCTTACTTGACATATAACTAATTGCATTGCAATGAACATAAGAATTGAGTCTTACACTTACCAATGAACACAAGCATTGAGTCTTACACTTACCTATGTACTTCTCACATAAATCAAATATAGTTCTAGGAACAGAGTGGGTAAACACATTTTTCTTAAATTAAATTGAAGTTTACCTGTTAGTGCAACAGTATAGATCTGAAGTCCAAGGTAAATGATGAATCAGACAGTTATGGCAATAGCCATAGTTAGATCAGCCTAGATTTTCATTGTCTTTCTGTTTGGGGATAATAGCTTAGTAATGGTGTCTGAAATTGTATTCTGGGTCAGACTAGAATGTAGTGATGATACTTTGTGTGAGTTACATTTTCTGGGGTACCTTCTTTGATAAAAATACTACAAGTAACACCAAATTAACAGATTTTATTTACCAATTGTTATCTTTTTTAAGAGACAGGGTCTCACTATGTAGCCCAGGTTGGTCTCAAACTCCTGGGCTCAAGCAATACTCCTGCCTCAGCCTCCCAAGTAGCTGCAATTCCAGGCACATGCCACCATGTGCAGTGTATTTTCTAGTTCTTTAAAGTGATTAGGGAGTCCCAGGAACATATTATCCTCAGAAAAAGGCTAACTCATCTTAAGGTTCTACATGTGGTCCTGATTTGTGTAAAAATCCCTCCTCTCAAAATGTGCAACAGGAGAAAGGTTTTTAATGTATCCTTTTCTGGGACTTTATCTTACTGTTTATCCTTTATTTCATAGCCATTGCTTATTGAAGTTTCTTGTATCGGTTCAAAACCTTAGAATGCGCCAACAGACAACATGAGGTGGTGTGGAGCAACATACTGTTTTAATGAGCGCCTGGGTGCAGGTGGACTGAGGCCTAAAATGGTGTCAGCACCAAAATGAGGATGGGGCAGGGGTTTTATGGTCTCCAGTAAACAGGAAGTGTCCCAGTTTGATGTGACTGCTACGTAGTACCTGGATGGCCTCTTTCTCGATCTTCAGGGGTAAATGTCTTCCCGCCAGGGTACATGTCTTCCAGCCGGCGCTCTTCCTGCTTCTGCTATCTTGCTGGCACACACTGCTGTTTCAGGTAGCCTTGTGCCTTGGGACAGGTCTGAGAAAGGAGGAGTTACTCACCCCTTCAAGCTTTCAGGCCTCAGGGAGAATCTTACAGTTTATATCATGGACAGGTGGAACTCTAGATGTTTCTAATTCAGACCCAGAGTTCTGGAATGAGTTTGGCATCTCACTTTGAAGACCTGGGGATACTTAACTCTCAAATACCAGGAGGCTCCAAGTTTCCACTAGAGGGCCTCACATACTTTGAGACAAGAAAGAGGTTGGCAAATATCACAGGAATTCTAAAGCAATAAGCTGCAAAAAGTAGGGGGAGGAGAAATGTTTTTATGCAGAGCCTTGTGAGAATGAGCTGCTACTGGGAAGTTGGTGGGAGGGTGCACATAGCAGCAGCTGTGACTAAAACCACCACCACCTCCATCTTAGTTGTTTTCCTTTGTTGGGGAAGAGTCAAACTTTGTAACGTATTTGAACAGGTTTGTTCTGAGCCAAATGTGAGTGACCAATGGCCCATGAAACAGCCCTCAAGAGATCCTGAGAACATGTGCCCAAGGTGGTCAGGCTTCAACATGGTTTTCTATATTTTAGGGAAACATAAGCCATCAGTCAATACATGTAAGATGTACACTGGTTCAGTTCAGAAAGGCAGGAAAACTGAAAGCGGTCAGCTTCCAGGTCATAGGCAGATTCAAACGTTTTCTGATTGACAATTGGTTGAAATAGCTATTATCGGCTGGGCATAGTGGCTCATGCCTGTAATCCCAGCACTTTGGGAGGCCGAGGCGGGTAGATCACTTGAGGTCAGGAGTTGGAGACCAGCCTGGGAAACATGATGAAACCCCGTCTGTACCAAAAAATACAAAAATTAGGCAGGCGTAATGAGGTGCACCTGTAGTCCCAGCTACTTGGGAGGCTGAGGTGGGAGAATCACTGGAACCCAGGAAGTAGAGGTTGCAGTGAGCCAAGATGGCATCATTGCACTCCAGCCTGGATAACAGAGACTGTGTCTCAAAGAAAAAAAAAAAACTGTTATCTAAAGACCTTGACCAGGCACGGTGGTTCATGCCTATAATCCCAGCACTTTGGGAGGCTGAGGTGGGTGGATCACCTGAGGTCAGGAGTTTGAGACCAGCCTGGACAACATAGTGAAACCCCCTTCTCTACTAAAAATACAAAAATTAGCTGGGTGTGGTGGCAAACACCTGTAGTCTTATCTACTCGGGAGGCTAAGGCAGGAGGATCGCTTGAACCTGGGAGGTGGAGGTTGCAGTGAGCCAAGATCGCACCACTGCACTCCAGCCTGGACAAGTGAGACTCCATCTGAAAATAAATAAGTAAAATAAAGACCTGGAATCAATACAAAGGAATGTCTGGGTTATGATAAGGAGTTGTAGAGACCAAGATTTTATCATGGAGATGAAGTGTCCAGTAGCAGACTTCAGAGACAATAGATTGTAAATGTTTCTTATCAGACTTAAGGAGTCTGTCGTATTAGTCTTAAAGTCTGTGTTGATGTTAAGGCTGGTCAGCTGAGCCTGAATTCCAAAAGGGAGGAGGGTATAATGAGGCATGTCCAACTCCCTCTTCCCATGATGGCCTGAACTAATTTTTCAGGTTAACTTTAGAATGCTTTTGCCTGAGAGGAGGGGTCCATTCAGATGGTTGGGGGGTTTAGAATTTTATTTTTGGTTTATACCTTCTCGAGAAAAGAAAGAGCAAAACCCAGAAATACAGACAGTCTTGATAATCAGAAGTACTTGGAAATCGCAATCACTTCAAGAGACTTTATTTAAAACAAATGACTTGATAAGATTGAAGAAGTATGTTGCATGTTGATTGATTGATTGATTGATTGATTGATTTTTTGAGACAGAGTTTTGCTCTTGTTGCCCAGGCTGGAGTACAGTGGCACGATCTCGGCTCACTGCAACCTCCGGCTTCCGAGTTCAAGCTATTCTCCTGCCTCAGCCTCCCAAGTAGCTGGGATTACAGGCCTGCACCACCACGCCTGGCTAATTTTGTATTTTTTTAGTAGAGATGGGGTTTCTTCATGTTGGTCAGGCTGGTCGCGAACTGTCAGCCTCAGGTGATCCGCCCCACCTCGCTCTCCCAAAGTACTGGGATTACAGGCGTGAGCCACCACACCCGGCCATGTGTGTTGATCTTTTAAAAGAATAGAAAAAACGTTTCCTTACTATACTAAGGGTATTTAGATCCGCATGACTAGTGGGTTTCATTTAACGAGCCAAATCTAGTCAGTCAGGCAGTTACCCTTAGGGTTTTGTAATCAATTAGCCAAGCTGACCACAAAAAAGTCAGAAAGAGTATCTAGGACTTACCAGCATTTATCTACCTAGACGTATCCTCCTAAAATTAGAATCAGAAAATGATACCAGTAATATTTATTATTATTTGATATTGTTTTGGAAGTCCTGGCCAAATCAATAAGATATGAGAAAAAATGGTGGTTAGAGAATTTGAAAAGAAAGAAACTACTATAGCATTTTCTGTAAGTAATTAAGTAGGAAAAAAAAACCAAAGATCATTTTTAAGCTTCTAGAGTTATAGCAAGAGTATAGAAATGACCAGATACAAAGGCACATATATGATTATCTTTTTGAAAATAGTTCTATATTTGAAGTAGTTATATATCAATTAGACAATTGTGCTCTGAAGAAAAGGAGGATAAAGACACACACACGTAAACTAAATGTGACCTATGTTATAAAAATATTTTATTTGGAAATTGTTAATGTTTGAAAACAGACAAAATAAGGATAGCAACACAAAATGTCTTCTGACTTAGTGTAATACTATTCACAATATAGCATTTACCTGGTGAATTATTCATCACATATCATGGTGCCCAGGTTTGTTGGCTCAAGTTGTGATGCTGTTTTTAGAAAAAAAAAAAAAAAAGTGAATTTAACCAAACTCATAGATTACTCAGATATAACCTAGAATGATACTTTTTACTATGTAAAGAATAACTGTCACACTTCCTGAAATACAGATGTTGGGATGACCAATGCAATCTAAGATTTTAATTAGAAGGTTGCTTGGTAAGCCTGGAATTAAAGAGAAGGGAGATGACTGAATAGTTGAAATGTTTTTTGGCCTCAGGCATTTCAGGTGAAGGTACAGCATTCAACAAACCCACAGCCAAGTCTACCTCTTTAGTTCCTTGTTTTCATGTTTTATTACTGGCTATCCTTGCCATACCTCATCTGATTCACACATGTTTTATTTATGGAACAAAGGTTTTTAAAAATGTATAGGTTAAAATTAGGCAGTGTGGTGAAGGGGAAGCCTTTTTTTTTTTCTGAAATCTTACGAGTTCTTAGTTGGAGAGGAGCCCTGAAACCAAAGACAGATTAAAAAGAGAAAAACAAACTTAAATTTATTTACTTGTGTATTTCATATATACATGGGAGACACCCAAGGAATGAGTAATTCTTAAGGAGGTGGTTTTGTTTTTGTTTTGTTTTGCTTTGTTTTTGTTGTTGTTGTTGCTGTTGAGACAGTCTTATTCAGTCACCCAGGCTGGAGTGCAGTGGCATGATCTTGGCTCACCACAACCTCTGCCTCCTAGGTTCAAGTGATTCTCCTGTCTCAGCCTCCCGAGTAGCTGAGGTTACAGGTATATGCCACCAGACCTGGCTAATTTTGTATTTTTAGTAGAGACGGGGTTTCTCCATGTTGGTCAGGCTGGTCTCAAACTCCCAATCTCAGGTGATCCGCCCGCCTCGGCCTCCCAAAGTGCTGGGATTACAGGCGTGAGCCACCGTGCCCGGCCCTAAACCCACTTCTTTTGTCTGAATTCTTGATTTCCTTGACGCAAGACAATGAACCTCGGGTATTTACCCCAGACAAATGACACCACTTCACAAGTATGTCGCAAAGTATTCAAAACCAGAGACATGAGGATGAGCACAAGAATGACTGGGACAAAAGGACATGAATGGGATATTCCTGAGAGATCCCCTAAGATACTTATAAAGACAAGACTGGATATGATACCTGGGTGCTCTGGCCTGTTAAAGGGCCAGAGGAAGTGGAAACAAATGGGAAGTAGGTGGAACCAGAAACAATCCACCAATTCCAGGAAACATTCCAGGCAAGTCTATTAAAAATCATGATTTACCATTTGGATTCGAAGTGAACATGATAATAAATAACAGCATAGATTCACATGGAAATCATGTTAGACTAATCTAACCTCTTGCCTTAGGTAGAATTAAGAAAGGTGGAGAATATTTTGCATCTTTACTTCTGCAAAGCACTCAATAAAGTCTCTCAATACAACGACTACCTTCCTAACTGGTTAAACCAGATCATGTGATGATGTGACACAGAGCTGTCTCCACAGGCCTGTCTTGTTCATCATATTTTCAGGTGACTTGGATGAAGATGTAAAATCTCATCACAATGATAGACGACATGATACTCAGTCAGGGAGAGCAAATCACATGGATGATGGAATCAAGATCCAAAGTTCTTACCAGTCTGAAGCAGCAGATTATATCCAGTAACATGAAATTTCACAAGTATAAATTTTGTCCCCTGAAACAGAAAATCAGTTGCATAAGTATGGGTCAAGACTTGGGTGCTAATAGTTTATCATCAGTACCTTTACTTATCCAACATTAATTGAGGGCTTCCCCAGTGTGAGGCTGTGTTAGGAACTAGGAATACAAGAGTGAGTGAGATACACTTCCTACCTTCAGTGATTTTGCAGTCTATTGAGGAATATAAACAAATAAACAGGAATATATAATGTTACATGAGAGACTCCTAGAGGTAGGGCAGGCTCAGTGGCTCCTGCCTGTAATCCCAGCACTTTGCAGGGCTGAGGCAGGGGAATAACCTGAGGTCAGGAGTTCGAGACCAGCCTGACCAACATGGAGAAACCCTGTCTCTACTAAAAATACAAAATTAGCCGGGCATGGTGGCACATGCCTGTAATCCCAGCTACTCAGGAGGCTGAGGAAGGAGAATCACTTGAACCCGGGAGGCGGAGATTGCAGTAAGCTGAGATTGCGCTATTGCACCCCAGCCTGGGCAGCAAGAGCAAAACTCTGAAAAAAAAAAAAAAGGAAAAGAAAAAGAAAGAAAGAGAGAGAGAGAGAAAGAGAGAAAGAAAAAGGGGAGGGAGGGAGGGAGAGAGGGAGGGAAGGGGACTAAAGACTCCTGGTGCTAAAGAGCCCAAAGGAGCACTTTACCCTACTCTGATGGGTTTAGGAAATTTTTCCTACAGCAACTCACAGCTGAGTGCGTTCCCAATGATGAGTAGGAGTTAAGTAATGTTGAGGGAACGAACTTTCCTAACAAATCCAGTAGCACATCAATGGCCTGTAAACAAGGAGGACCTGGCTCACTGGGCCCTGAAAGCCCTGGATTGCTTGTGTGGCTGAAGTAGAAGGCTATAGGGGCTGGAGAAGGGAGCAAGGAAGGACCAGACCAAGGAGAGGGGTGAACTGGAATTTAATCCTGAGGAATAAAGGCATTTAAATAGGGTGTCAGATTTATTATTTAAAAAGATCACTCCAGCAGTAAAGTAGAGAATGGATTAAAGTGGAGACCACCCTGGGAGCAGAGAGATTATCAAAGAGGCAATTACAGTAAATGATCTAGGAGAAATGTAGATGGCCTGAAATAAGCCATGGGAGTGAAAAGCAGTGGAAGTTAAAGATATGAAAGAGAGAAAAATCTATAGAACTTGGTGATTGATTGGTTTAGGGCAATGAGAGAAAGGAGGAAGTCGAATAGAACACAGGATTACATTGTCTTGTGTAGCAATTTAATTTTTCTTTGAACACTCCCAATAACACTAAGAGAGAGATGCTAGTATTATGTCTGCTTTACACTTGAGCAAGCTTGGAGAAGTTCACTAACTCGTTTACATTCAGGCTAGAAAGCACTATATTCGATATTCAAACCCAGACAAACTAAAATATGATAGACTGAGCTTTTATTTTCATATATCAAGTATAAGATATAAGAAATAATAATTTTTAAAATATCAATTCCTGTTTAACCTCAAAAGTTTTATGACTGTATCCTATTTTCTGAGTTTCAAGACTTTGTCCATAAATGTTCATGGATACCCAAAAGTGTTGACATTTGAATCCCAGGTTATAGCAAAGAGGACAATAAACGACTTGCAGGATCTTCCTTTGTTGCTAACGGAATGTCCAACAGCAGAAGAAGTGCTAAAGTCCTGGGAAGTGATGACCCTAGGGATTCTGCTTAGGCAACTCATTTATAAAAACGAGGGTTACAACAGGAATATTCAGTACAATAAGAAAGATAAACTCCAAGGTTTTTAAGATTACTTTCAATTAAATGACAGACTGATTTCTGACTTCTCAAGAGACTAGGTAAACCAGAAAACAGTAACTATTATATTTAAACTACTGGCTGGGTGCAGTGGCTCATGCCTGTAATCCCAGCACTTTGGGAAGCCAAGGCCGGTGCATCACTTGGAGTCAGGAGTTTGAGACCAGCCTGGCCAACGTGGTGAAACACTGTCTCTACTAAAAATACAAAAATTAGCCAGGTGTGGTGGCGGGCGCCTGTGGTCCCAGCTACTCAGGAGGCTGAGGCAGGAGAATGGCTTGAACCCAGGAGGCAGAGGTTGCAGTGAGCCAAGATCATACCACTGCATTCCCACTTGGGAGACAGAGCGAGACTATGTCTCAAAAAATAAAATAAATAAACTACTGAAAGAAAAGCACAGCCAACTTAAAATTATCTAACCTGCAAAAATGTCACTTTAAAATGAGACAAACAAAAAACAAAACCTAATAGAGTTTATAACTAGTAGACTTTCACTAAAGGAAATTTCAAAGGATATATTTCAGGCTGAAGAGAAAAGCTACCTGATGGAAATCTGAAGTTCAGGAAAGAATGAAACACAGAAAGCATGATAGAGCTGGGCGTGGTGGTATGTGTCTGTAATCCCAGCTTCTCAAGAGGCCAAAGTGGGAGGATTGCTTGAGCTCAGGAGTTCAAATCCAACCGGGAAAATTAGCAAGACCCTGTCTGTCTCCTAAGGAAACAAAAACTAAACAACAACAACAACAACAACAAACAAAAACAAAAACAAAACCAAAGCGTGAGAAATAAATATGTGAGCAGCTGGGCACAGTGGCTCATGCCTGTAATCCCAGCACTTTGGGAGGCTGAGGTGGGTGAATCACTTGAGATCAGGAGTTTGAGACCAGCCTGGCCAACATGGTGAAACCCCATCTTTACTAAAAAATACAAAAAATTAGCCTGGCATGGTGGTGCACACCTGTAATCCCAGCTACTTGGGGGGCTGAGGCAGGAGAATCACTTGAACCCAGGAGTCAGAGGTGGCAGTGAGCTGAGATTGCACCACTGCACTCCAGCCTGGATGACAGAGTGAAACTACATCTAAAAAAATTAAAAAATAAAAATAAAAACAAATAAATATGTGAGCAAATATAAATTGTTTGACTCCATAAAGCAGTAATGTCTTGTAGAATTAAAAACATAAAACATACAGCAGTGGTAACAATTTGAGAATGTTATAAATTGAGTCAAGTGGGCCAGGTGCAATGGCTTATACTACAGTCCCAGCACTTTGGGAGGCCAAGGCAGGAGTATCACTTGAGCCCTGGAATTAGAGGCTGCAGTGAGCCATGATCTTCTTCATGCACTTCATTGCATTCCAGCCTAGGTGACAGAGTAAGATCCTGTCTCTAAAAAAAAAAAAAAAAAAAGAAAGAAAAAAAATTGAGTCAAGTAGAAGAGATGACTTAAAATATTAATTAACTTTAGATTTTTATATGTTTAGTATGCGTGTTGAAATTTCTAGGATAAACAATTAAAGGAATAGAGACACCGTGTATACATTCCGAACTAGCAGAGAGAATAAGTGAAATGTGAATTAGTTAGAATAGGCTTAGTTGTGCTGCAGTAACAAACAACCTCAAAATGTCAGTGGCATAAGATTTATTACTCATTTCTCCTACATGTCCATCATGGTCCAGCAAGGGGTTCTCCCTACCATAGTCACTTGGGAACACAGGCTGACACAGGCTTCATCCTGACACACAATTCCACAATAACAGAGGCAAAAGGAAGAAAGCATGGCAACCTGCAGGCCAGCTCTTGATCCTGCTGCAAGAAGGGACCTACATGACTTCTACTCACACATCATTGACCAGAGAAAGTCATGTAGTCACATCTAAGTACAAGGGACAAAGAAGTGGGATCCTTCTAAGTGCCTGGAACAAGAGAACTAAACATCTGTGATTAGCCTTAATGGCTTTTATAAAGTGATATACAAATACACAACTAATCCAAAAGAAAGGAAAACAGGAGAGGAAAAAGAAATACCAGACAAATGAGACAAACAGAAAAGACTAAATAGATGATAGATATACACTGAGGAAGATGAAGATGAATAATTGCAATAAATATAAATGGACCAGTTAAAACACAACACTGATGGAGGAAAATCTAACTCTATGTTGTTTACAAGAGATACTTCAAAAACGTAAGAATTCAGAAAACTGGAGAATGAAAACATAGAAATGATAAAAATTGCAGCATATCTATGCTTTAGAATCCTTTAGAGCAATAAAATTGAACAAAATATATCCACTTGTAGCACCATAAATGGATTGAATAAACATAAGGTAGTTCAGTCACAAAAAATACATACAATGAGATTCTATTTATATAACATTCAAGAACAGGTGAAATTAAACTGTAATGTTTAGAGATGGATACATAAGTGATATAATTATAAAAAGAAGAAAGGAAATTGTTATCTCAAGCATAATTTTTTTTTTTTTCTGGAGGAAAGAAAGTGCTGTGGTCAGGAAAGAGTGCACGGTTGAGAGCTTCAGAAACACTGCCATTGTTCTGTTTCTGACCTTAGCAGAAGTCAAAAGGGTGTCTGCCTCATTGATATTCTTTAAACTTTGTCTACATGTATGGTTTTGGTACTCTGATATGTGTGTGTGTGACTGTGTGTGTTATATAAGGTACCTTACAATTTTTAAAAAATGCTTAAGAAGTAAAGGTTTTATTAGATGATTAGATGTGAAAATCAGGAGGTCACTGGATTCTTTGCTAGAGTAGTTTCACAGTGTCCTTTTTCCAGTTGAAGAGAATATTGGAGCTAAAGAAACAGAGTCAACAAGGAGCTTGGCAATGAAGAGAAGGAGCCAACTGGTAAGTAGCTTGGGAAGGCTGAGTAGAAGGTAACATGAAATTGTCCGTATCCTAAGGAGTCAATACAGAAAAAGACACTGGAAATGCAGGACAGAGATACAGCACAGTCTCAGGAGCTGGGCAAAGATGGGATCCAGCTCACAAGCAAAAGTATAGGAGAATGTCTTACCTGTAAGAATGGTGGAGGCCGGGCACAGTGGCTCACGCCTGTAATCCCAGCAGTTTGGGAGAGCCAGGTGGGCAGATCGCCTGAGGTCAGGAGTTTAAGATCAGCCTGGCCAACACGGTGAAACCCCGTTTCTACTAAAAATACAAAAATTAGCCCGGTGTGGTGGCAGGCACCTGTAATTCCAGCTACTCGGGAGGTGAGGCAGGAGAATTGCTTGAACCCAGGAGGTGAAGTTTGCAGTGAACTGAGATCGTGCCGCTGCATTCCAGCCTGGGCGACAGAGTGAGACTCGGTCTCTTTAAAAAGAAAAAAGAAAAAAAAGAATGGTGGAAAGGAAGGGAAGTAGGTACCAAAATGGAAAGGGATGCAGCCAAGAAACAAGGAAGTTGACCAAGAATATGAACAGAAAAGGAAGGTCCTTTCAACAATGGAACCTACCTCTACAACCGGGACTTCTGAAACAGCGTTCTGAGAATGTGCGCATCACCTCTGTTGTCTGGATCATTGGGGAAAAATAACTGGTATGGAATGACCTGTGACCTGTTACTGAGAGGACTCACTTCCTGTGCATTAAATTACAGCTACTATATTTAGATTCATTACACATATTAAAATGTGACATTCATCTCTCAGAATATTTCTTAAGTAATTCAACATGTATCACAACTGTAATTTCTCTTTTTTTCTTTTCTTTTCTTTTTTTTTTTGAGACGGAGCTTCACTCTATCACCCAGGCTTGAGTGCAGTGGCGTGATCTTGGCTCTCTGCAACCTCTGCCTCCCGGGTTCAAGTAATTCTCCTGCCTCAGCCTCCTGAGTAGCTGGGGCTACAGGCGTACGTTGCCACGCCGGACTGATTTTTTGTATTTTAGTAGAGACAGGGTTTCACCGTGTTGCCCAGGCTGGTCTCAAACTCCTGAGCTCAAGCAATCCACCCACCTTGGCCTCCCAAAGTGCTGGGATTAAAGGCATGAGCCACCACACCTGGCCCCAGCTCCATGATCTGTAAAACAGACAGGCTGGATAACTCACAAAACAATAATAAAGAATAACTAAAATGTATATGTATATTGGGGGTGGATTTAAAGAGGGATGTGGAGTTGGTTCACCTTTTTAATCACTCCTGTAATATTGACTGATATTTTTCTGAATGAGTACAGATTTACACACAAAATTCCTGATTTAGTATTTTAAAGATAAATGATTTTTGATCTTCTGTAATTTGTTTCCTTATCTGTAAATTAAAGCACCTTGCTCAAAGGGTTACTGCGGGAACTAAATAAAATTATCCAGGTAAAGCATCTAGAACAATTCAACCAGCTCAGTGACCAGAGTTGCAGCCTTATTTGCCTGAATAGTGAAATCATTATTGATTTAAGTTCCCAGCTATGAAACCATATGTCCCAGTTTGCCTAGGACCTTCCCTATGTATGCTGCTGTCCTGGATTAATTACTAGTAGTATTCCTTCTCACTCTCAAAAGTATCACAATTCAGACAGTAGATTAGATGGGTACCCTATTCAGAGCACATAGTAAACCCTCCATGGATATCAGTATATTGTTATTATTACCAGTTTAATATGTCTTCCGAAAAAGTCACAATTAACAGTTAAGTTTGGCTGGCATGGTGGCTTATGCCTGTAATCCCAGCACTTTGGGAGGCCAACGCGGGTGGATCACCTAAGGTCAGGAGTTCAAGACCAGCCTAGCCAACATAGTGAAACCTTATCTCCACTAAAAATACAAAAATTAACTGGGTGTGGGATGTGCACCTGTAATCCCAGCTACTCAGGAGGCTGAGACAGGAGAATTGCTTGAACCTGGGAGGCAGAGTTTGCGATAAGCCAAGATCGAGTCACTGCACTCCAGCCTGAGTGACAGAGCAAGACTCTGTCTCAAAAAAACAAAACAAAACAAAAAACCCAGTTAAGTTTACATTCTGAATTAGTAGGAGTGACAATGATTGAAGATTTTGGTTGGGCAGGAAGGATAGACTGACAGTTCCCTCATTTTATCTTTATATGCAACTGGAGAGCTGCACGGAAGGAGTGAAACATGTCAAGGAATACCAGGTGGGCAGAGCCTGCTTTGAGGCATCTGCCAAAGGTTATGAGTCACTGCAGACACACTGAGAGTCACACTGGGGGAAGGCGCAGCAGACAGGGAGAAGTTCAAAGTGGTGCTTCTGAGAGACTTGGGACGCTGTACACAATTAATCATCTCTCCACAGGGTGACTGTGGGAGCCACAGCAGTGCCTGAGTCTTCCAGGGGAAAAATTGAACACGGAAATTTGTGGAAAGGAAACAAAGGAGGTGGATGAAAGCTGGAGGAACAAGTGTTTAAACAATGCAGCTTTTCTTGCCCTGGAAGGTTGCCTTTGGGTACTAACCTTCTGTTAGTACAGAGGGCAGCCAGGGAGAGGAAGGAAACTATCAAGAGAGAGCAGTAGCAGTCTTGTCTGTGCTCCCCTGTGGTGCTCCTTCTTTTGAGCTCTTTCTCGAACCCTTAATCCCTGTCAGGCTCCTGGAGGAGCCTCACTGGGCAGCCTCAGATCTCCCCAGTTTGCCCTGTCCGCAGAAAAACAGACCATTGAAATTGCTATTTCAGAGCTGGAAGCTGGTCAGCCAGCTCAGATGACCGGAGTTGCAGCTCTTATTTGCCTGAATAATAAAATCATTATTGACTTAAGTTCTCAGCAAACAGTGGGGTATTTGTTTAACATTTCTGAGCTGCTGCTCAAGTTCCAAAAAATGTCCCCTTCCAAAGAAAAGTATTTAAAATTGGATTGAGAGCGAAGAGTAGGTGGAATAGTGCTATTGTGGGGGAAGTCTTGGGTTTGCAGTGAACTTTCACTGACCTTTCAGCTCCTTAGGACATGCTCCTTGTCATCTGTCCATCATGCCCAATGGCCAGCCTAAGGGGAGAAAATGAAGTGCCCTCTCCATGATGGCCAAAACTACCTGCCTGGCTGGCTGCCTGTCCGTTATCATCTCAGTCTCTAAACCACCCACTGCTGCTCCTGATTTCTATGCCCACTTAACTTGTCAACTGTGACTTTGTGGAACATGATACAATGAAAAAAGGCATGGGCTTTAGGGAAATTGGCCCCAATTTAGGCATGAATTTGATCCCCAGTGCCACTGCATAACCTAAAGCTAATAACATCATTTTGGTTATCTGTTATTGCATAACACACACTTACTAAACGGTCCCTTTTTTTTTTTTTTTTTTTTTTTTTTAGATGGAGTCTCCGTTTGTCGCCCAGGCTAGAGTGCAGTGGCATGATCTCAGCTCACTGCAATCTCTGCCTCCTAGGTTCAAGCTATTCTCCTGCCTCAGCCTCCCAAGTAGCTGGGAGTACAGGGGCACACTTATCATGCCCAGCTAATTTTGGTATTTTTAGTACCAAATATGTCTTCCGAAAAAGTCATACAGGGTTTTGCTATGTTAGCTAGGCTGGTCTCGAGCTCCTGATCTCAAGTGATCCACCTGCCTCAGCTTCCCAAAGTGCTGGGATTACAGGCGTGAGCCACCTCACCCGGCCTTACTAAACAATACTTTTATTAGTTCTCCTGATTTTATTATTTAGGTATAAACCTTCAGTCTTAACCAGGGTGAGTGGGGTGGGGGTGGAAAAAACGTTCATATCTTGAACCTTTTTTTTAGCAATCTTGTTTATTATAGTGGTATGAGCAAAGCATTCTCAAACTGCTTTTGATTTATTATAAGAGTGAGCAAATAAGTACAAGGGTTAATGTTGTTAATCACACTGTGGAAGAAAGGAAATACAATTATGGAAGGGAGGAAGGCAAGGAAGAACCCTGTGGGGATGGACTGAATTAAAAGTATCTCTGTAAACTAATAATTTTTAAAATATGTATATGTACATATGCATACATATTTATGTATGTGTACATTCATTTGTGGACATATGCATATATGCAGGCATATATTTCTTAACTCTGTTCACTAAAAATCTTCGAAACAAAGACACTTCAGCAGCAAAGAACACACCTGCCGAGATCTTGGTCTCTAACACCATCCCCCACTAAAAAATCAGGGCACCTTAGGAAAATGACGGGTGGAGCAGGTGCAAGATGAGGCTGGAACATACTGTTACGCCAAAAGAATAATGAAGTCCTGAGAAAGCAGGAAGGAGAGCATATCACAGAAACACAGAAGGCAGCTTGAAAGGGATCTCAGTGGCCAATACTGGGACTATTTGGGCACCAAAATACTAACTACAATAATGAATTATAAGCCATTGAAAAAATAAAAATCTGTGAGTCCTACTGGTAATAAATATAAACACAGATAAACCAGTGTGAAGAAGATAGGGTTTTGCTTACAGTAGAATGCTGAAAGCCAGCTGTTAAATGTGGCATGCAGAAACTTAAAAATTATTTTTGTCATTACCATAACAAAAAGTGAAATAAGCAAGAATTATCAATGGACGCTAAATCTAGGGGAATTTTTTTTTTTTTTTTTGAGACGGAGTCTCGCTCTGTCGCCCAGGCTGGAGTGCAGTGGCCGGATCTCAGCTCACTGCAAGCTCCACCTCCCGGGTTCATGCCATTCTCCTACCTCAGCCTCCTGAGTAGCTGGGACTACAGGCACCCGCCACCACGCCCGGCTAGTTTTTTGTATTTTTTAGTAGAGACGGGGTTTCACCGTGTTAGCCAGGATGGTCTTGATCTCCTTACCTCGTGATCCGCCCGTCTCGGCCTCCCAAAGTGCTGGGATTACCGGCTTGAGCCACCGCGCCCGGCCTTTTTTTTTTTTTTTTTTTTATGATGCAGTCTTCTCTGTCACCCAGGCTGGAACACAGTGGCGCAATCTCGGCTCAGTGCAACCTCCACCTTCCAGGTTCAAGAGTTTCTCCTGCCTCAAGCCTCCCAAGTAGCTGAGACTACAGACATGTGCCACCACACCCAAAAACGTAATTTTTGCATTTTTTAGTAGAGACGGGGTTTCACTGTGTTGGCCAGGCTGGTCTCAAACTCCTGACCTCAAGGTATCTGCAAACCTCGGCCTCCCACAGTGTGGGGATAACAGGCATGAACCACTGCGCCCAGCCAATCTAGGGGAAATTTTGAAAAGAAACAGGATGTTTGC